GAATACAACTCAGTATGAACTATTGAACTATGTTAAATACAACCCAGACTATTATTATCTATTATATTCTATTATTAACTATTGATGATCAATTGGTCAGTCAAAGTCCCAATCCTTGTACCGATCACAATACTGACACACACACACACAAACATAGCCTTGTCCAGTGCGGTCCGTCACTGGGAAACCCCAAGGTTCAGGCCGCAGGTGGCCAATCCCTGCGTCCCCATCTGTCCAATTCTGCAAATTCGAGCCCTGCCCTGCGCTGTCTGAAACCAGTGCTGTCAAGACATTCTGTGGTACTGAAAACAAGACTCAAAGGCACCAAAGATGAGCTCAGCAATCGATTGGAGACCTCAAATTCCAACCCGGGTTCCGTCCGTGCTTCGGCAAATCAGTCCCATCCCCACCCGCCCCCACCTTCGCAGCACGCTTGGCCGCAGGCTTTGGCTTCGCTTTGGGCGCCCTGGCGGGCCGCAGAAAACATGTTGTCAGAGTCGGACTTGGGGGTGATCATGTTCAAAATCTGGTTTTCGAGGTATGCAGCCGTGTGTAGCTATATCTGGGACGCACAAACATGTCCTCAACTAATGAAACATGTGCAGGGCCCAAGATTACTGGGACAAGCTCATTGCAACACCTCAGAACTTTGAGAAGAAATGGCAGGAAACGACCCTCTGGAGAAGAAAACCAACATACCAGCACCTGACTCTACAGGTCTCCTAAAGAGAAGGCCCAATTGGTGACCTGTTGGGGGTCCAGGTACATATGATATACTGTACACACATCTATACTGTACCAGCGCGGCAAACCCCCAGCCAGATCACGCAAAAGCGGGAAAACCGCCCAACAGCCAACCCTTTCGCTGCGCCTGGCTGCCTTTGGCTTTGGCTCAGGCTTAGCCTTCGCCTTGCGAAGGTGATTCAGCTTGGGCTGGTCAGGAGATGCTAGGAATATTTGAGCAATGAAGTCTCCATGGCAAGTGACCCGGTCGAACTGGCTTCTGATCGGAAGGCAGGAAACACCGCTCAAAACTATTAATAATAGACTATAACTATAACATACGATAACAATAAGAAGTAATAGTGGAGCTGCTTTTGTGTTTTTGCCTCAGGTGGCGTCCAATAGTTTCTACTTCATGGACAAAGTCGCGGACGTGGGATGTCTTCACTTTTTCCCAAAGTGAAAGCCACCAAACATTAGGGCTAGGCCATTAGGGAAAATCCCAAAGGCCAAATCCCAAAGAATTCTTCATCCCAGTTGCTGGTTCCAGCGCAATCCCCTGAACAACCCCCAAAACAACAACACACGGCGATTCATGATGCCTTTCTTGCCGGAGAGGATGCAGCAGCTTTGGCTGCACCCTTGGCCGCAGGTTTGACGCCGGCCTGTCAGGGTCACAGCGGGGAGAATTAGAGCCCATGGCCTGTGGCTTTTGCCATTTCTCTAAAGTCTTCCACACCTCAGTAGATGAGGGGGCATGATTTGGAGAGATCGTCAATGGTAACACCCATTCTGCAAATAGGATCTTGAAATGGGACCTATCGCAAACATCAAGTCTATCTGTTACCTAAATAGTAAGCAAAGACTAACCCATCGTCGGGCAAATTTGTCCAACGTAGGCTATGAGCCATTTTGTTGAATTTGTTGCAAGACTCCAGGCATGCATCGGCCGCGCCTGCTTGAGTACGGCGGCCTTGTCTTTGGCAGTGAGAACATCCCAGCCAGCCTCAGGCGATCTCGGGCGTGTATCAACAATAGGTCTCTAAATAATAGGTCCACAATGGTCCAACAGTGCTGCCCAGCAGGCCTGTGAGGAAGCGAGATGTCCGCAGCAAGAACAAACGTGTCCATTCACAACAAAAAATCAGCTACATAATATCGTGTGTGCTCTTTGTCTAAACATAATCACACATCTAAAGGTTGGTTGATACGCAGCCCCTGGACATTCCCTTATCAGGAATTCGCACTTTTGGGGGGGCTTGGGACATGAAGAACCAATTTTTGTCAAGCATCCCACCAGCATAGATCTCCAAAGTGGGTTCAGGTGAAAAAGGGCATCATAAGGTTCAGAAGGAAGGCCACACTCTAAGTTTCATGATCAGGTTTCATGATTCAAGTAAGTATTGGTATAATATAGTCACAAAGTTCGGACTGAAGGTTCAAGAGCACTGTTTGCTTCAGGAAGACACTAGTTGTAGACGCAAGTGTGTGCTCCACACATGGCAGTGGCATCAGTGGAGAACCCCACGCAACATCTGCGCTGGATCTCCGCTGCATCTTTGTCACTTATGCGAGAGTTGCGAAAGGGTTTTGTTGTGGGATGTTGTTCTGGGTCACAGGATCTGGTTGGTTTTGGGGAAAAGCGAAGTGTTGCTATTCATTGTTCATCTAAGACTACATTTCTTGGGGAGACCAGAGTCTGGCTTTCTATCCTGGTGGCAGACAAATCCCTCTTGCAGACTACTTTACAGCATTTCAGTGGTGAACGCATGTGGTTTCGCCTTCACTTCTTTGTTGCAGCAATGTAAGCAATATGACTGACATGAGGTCGACCTGCGCAGCTCTGGACGTGGGACACGACAGCTCTGGAGTCCGGTCTCTGCTCGGGGGACACGACAAAGTAAATGGCGGTCGTTTCCCCGGAACAACTTGCAGAAACAAGTGCCACGCTAGTATATAGTAACAGGTGCCTTACCAGTAGTAACAAGAAGCTAGTAGGAACAAGTGCATCACTACTAGTAACAAGTTGAGTTAGGGACATCAGACCGGCGTCGAGCTTCGAGAAGGAAAAAGAGAAAAAGAACGTCCCGAGTGAGCCAATCCCCATCTCTGAAGTGAAGAACATGGTCTTTATTTTGGGAAAGTATTTGAAAGTCACCAATTTTAAACTCGTATTATCTCATATTCATGGTTATACAGTTATACATTGTGGTTACCAGTACCATGTTGCGTTGTTGAAGTGTTGAACGGCCGAATTCACCCGCTTTCGCCCGCGTTTCTACCCTCACGGTCTCTCTCGATGCGTCTCAGTGGCCACCGATTCAATGGAGCCCACCTGAAAAACCGGTCTGTCGCTTGTTTCGTGTTCGTGTCGCTTCGGCAACACTGGGGGCAACACTGGGAGCAACAAAAACGGACCATCCATGACCATCGCCAAAACGGAAGTCCTTTAACCTTAGAACTCAAGAGAAGATCCACTTGTGTAAGTCCATTTAGAACTCCCACCATCCACCTGGATCCAAACCACATGACTGCAAGAAGCAAATCGGCCACCCAGCTCCGTCAAGCGGCAGTCTGGCACTGGAGAAGCCACAAAGATTTATGCGACTTCGTTGTCGAGATGGGAACTTGGACTCTACCCATCCCCGCCAAGCCCATATTGCCAACAAACCATTTGGACCTAGTCGAAAGGAAGGCTGGCTTCATTTTTCTTTTACACTGGGTGTTGTGGTCGACACACGAGTGATTTCTGACAAAACTCTAACAGTTGAAGTCCAATCGTGCTGTAGGATATGTATACTCAAATGAGCAAAACACCTTCCGCATCATTCACAACCTGTTCCGCACTGTGCCCGGGCCTTGTTGATGATATTGGAGAACTGTTTATCGGTCACACACTTCAAGCAGCGATAGCTGGCCTCACTGCGTTGAGAGATCAGCCCAAACACCCCACAGGAGCATGAGAGCATGAGAGCATGAGCTGTTGGCTATTCATTTCTGTTGGGTCAAAACATGTTCTGAGTGTGGGTTTTCCAAACCATTTTTGTTGATGGTGGGTGGGGCTGCTGATATTGAGTTGAACATATATATATATATATATACCATGTATTTTGCAGAACAAACGGGGGATGGCCTCACATCTAAATGTTACCCTACCAATGACAACACATGGTACTTCCTGCATCCTCATAAGAGCAGCACAGTGTGGAAGTGCAGACCCTTCATGGCCGAACCAATCCAAAACAGATTGCACCTAACACCATCCCCCATCAAGCCCCCGACCGTTGGCAAGAGCACCATGGAAAATCAATAATATTACGTATGACACTTGCTCGTTTTCTGCACACACACATATAACGAAAATGGTGTAGTTGTGTGCAAGCCTGCTGAATCCTTGCTAAGCGACTATAGTATAGTCGCCCATGCCATCGGAGCTGGTGCCCAAACGGATGGCACCCTTCTCGATCTTCTCACCGCACTTACCCTGCCAATCACGAGACTTGTGGTGTGTGCAAAGTTCCAAGCGAGCTACAAGGGCCAGCAGCCATGGAACACGGAAACTTCTGGTTCCGCCTGTGCAGAGTCCAAGGATGTCCAGTCCAAGGTCCATGGAGTTCACAGCATGGCAGCATGGCAGGCACTGGGGCCTTCCACATCACACTCCAAGGATGCTATTCAAGTTCTTGTTGATCCATATTGTATTGTTTGTTTTGTTTTTTTTTTTTTAAAGCAAGAAGACCACATCTTCTTTGCACAGCAATCTAGACTTGATTGGCCCTCTCACCTCTTGGAGATGTCTTTCCCAGTATCATTCTGTATATTCACTCTGCTATGCTGCTATGCTTATGCTATGTTAATCTATGTTAATCACTATTCTATATTTGTTGGATGGTATTCGATGTTGCACTCGGTTGTTGTTCTTAGTCTTACTTCAACTTATCACAGCATTTCACTGCAGCAGTCCGCTTGGATCATCTTACTCAATTCTCAGAACAGGTGCAAGTTGTCAATTGTCATCACAAAGAGAGGTCGTAGATATGCCTTGATTGGTTGAAAACAGTGCAGTTGAAACAGACTTGCTCCAAGGACATTGTGCAGCATCAAACTCAACCAAAGCAGCGGGGTGCCTGGGTGATTCTTTGACCCATGCCTCACCAGCAGATAGCAATTCTTCAATGTAGCTAAGCAGGCCCTTAACCATTCCCACGCGAAGGTGAATCAACACCCTTAGGATTTATCCCAAACAATGAGGAATCGCAAAAGAACCTGGTGGAATTCATGGTGGACATTCCCCCAGCTAGTAAGGTAACTGGTGAATTCCCCGACCTTGTCAACCTGACCGGAACTCTCCACTGAGCTCTTCGACATCGCCTTGCACTTTGCCCGGTTCGTTGGCGCATAACTGAACTCATACGACATGGCGAGGGGCACTTTGGAAGCTGCTGAACGACCAACAGAGGTTAAAAACCTGTGGCCCATCCCATATTATCATATGCACTCCAGTAAGATCCCAGTACAGTACAGTACATGGGTTGACGTGACATTGCTTGATTGTATAGTTGCCGACACCTGAATATCTGAAGGTAAACATGAATCTTAACAGTTGACACCTGGATGTGACAGTTTCGTCAATTTGCCTAGCAAACAATATGCATGTCTAGAATAATGCTAGAGTCGAGAGGTATTCAGGAAACCTGGAGCAAAGGGACACCTACTTCTGCAAAAATGGCAGGATCATGCAAGATCATCCGGATTGCTTCCGAAAGCATCGCAGCTGGCTTGAGCGTGTTGCACGCTGCGCGGGTCTCCCTTGGGACAGAATTTTCCCAACAGCATTGACAAACGGAACCACTGGATCCCCAGGGTTCGTGCCAAGTGTTATCGAATGAATGATAAAGGCTCCTGATCGTCTACACTTCACTCACTTGACTGCGAATGAACCAACCAACCAACCAACCAACTTCGAAGCTTCCCTTCCAAATTTCAAACATCCCTTGGAGACAAAGACATAGAGTCATGTTGTCATGGCATATCTGGGCGATATGCACTCGAGGCGGTTTGGAAACCCAGAAACCAACACCATGTTGACATCCCTGGGCCATCCATCCGGAGTCCAATGGACGCCTACAAGTAGTGTTTTGTAATGTTTTGTAGGGCCTTGGCAACCTCTTGGATGATCTGGAAGTTCGGCCCTCAAAAATGTCTGAGCTTCACTTCACCTGCTAATTATGCCAATTCATCCATGTTTCATGTTCATCCCTGTCCCCGGTCTGTGTAGGGTGAAATTGCTCAAGAGTCTTAAGCTGAAAGAGTCATGGACGCACCAGGCCCCAACCGAGCTCGGTTGATGTGGTGGGTGCTGCACACCCCTCCTTGAAAGGGCACAAAGCCAAGAGTCGGTTCTCAACAGACCGTGCTACTGGGTGAACTTGTCTGGACCAAAAAAGGACCCAACGAAGAACCAAATGAAGAAGCCAACAGCTGACGGCCGCCGACGGTTCGTTCCTGAACCCCCAAGAATTGATAGAGGCCATCGCTACTAGGGTGGAGCCATCGCAGTAGGTTAGACCTGATTGCAGTCCTTCATCACCATGCACCAAATCTGAGCAAACTGGCCAAACTTCTTGCCCATCGATGGGCCGCATACCTGGGTCCACATGCGAAAAAGGTGGTGGTCAGAGTGTCGACCAGGCCGAGAAGAAACCCTTGGCACAGTGAGGAAGTCAGAGCCATTTGGCTAGAACATGCTAGTACTCATTGGTCCAACAAGTGGCAAATCCATACAACTTCCTCAGCCGCTGTGGATGTGGCAAATCTACAACTTAGGGACGTCAGCACAAAAGCCAGGTCCAATGGAAGAATCTGTCTTCACAGCCTGAAAAGCCTGTCTACCAGAGGAAGTGAAAAGAACAGTTTGGGCAGATTGGGTGGGCAAAGGAACAAAAACTCCTTGACACCATTTTGCGTTCCTAGTTTGTGTTTCTATATGTTTACTGTAAATGTGTTCTAGTGTTGTCCTATTTGCTTTGAATATTGCATATGTTTCCTACGTTTCTCTATGTTGGGCCCATGAGCTGAATAGTATCCCTGTATTAGTAACCCAGCGCTCATGAATGATTGGAACAGGCCATATTTTGGGTGATTGGTAGTCCAAAACGGGGATCAATACGGCTAAGGGTTCTATTCGATGTTCTAGGGAGGCTTTGCGGTGTTCCTAGGCAGCTCTTCTTCTACATTCTTCTATATTTTACATATCAAGTTGGAGATTATACAACACGCTCACACATAACTACTAATGTTAACGTACCAGTAGCAAAGCATTTGACAATAATAATTAGTTTTTTTTTTGCCTGCCAGAATTTTACAATACAAGTTTTAATTGCGCCCAAATCGAGACCCCAAAATGGATAAACATTTTGTTTGTCAATTGCAACATTTGTCAATAGTAATTAGCTGTTGGTCTGCCAGAATTTTACAATACTAGTTTTAATTGCGCAAACAGCCAGATATCAAAATGCTTTCAGGCCAAATGGCCTGGAGTTTCTTTTTAAACATAAAAGTTCAGGTTTTTGACTACCCCCAAAAAACAATCATAAGGGGGGTTTACTGATGAGATGTTAACATTATATAGTTATATATATATACAATTATATACATACATGTTATGTTATGATGTTGTATTTCCCACAACCGACATTGAACATCATTGAACATCTTCTTCACACCAACCAACTGAGAATCCACGTATTCCGGTGCCGCGTATTGTATTTTAGTCGTGGCAAAAAGTACAGCAGCTTATTGTCTGGGATGGTCCAGTCCCGCCTTGGGTCTGAGACCCACATGAAACCGTTTCGTATCCACTAATCAAACGGGAGGAGGGACCTAGTCGTCCAGTCTGGTCCAATCTTCGATCCTGTGACAATGGGGCTCCTGACCACGCCCAGCCGGCCCAAGGTGATGCACACATTCTGCCTGGCAGAGGCGCGAGGTGGAGTCAGGTGAGGCGGCCCAGGCCAGACAGGTGGGAGACCAACTTGAGCTAGTTGACGTGAAGACACCACTGCCGACAAGCTGAGCTGAGCAGCTATGAACGCTGGAACGCTGAGCACCAAAACTGAGCACCACTGCGACTGCAGCTATGGAACGCTCATGAGCTGATGTTCGTTACAAGCAGATCCTGAACGGTCCGAGGCACACTGTTGTTGAACCGAACCGTTGTTGTACCTTGGCCACTTGGCCACTGCCACAACGAGGTCCAAGTATCGTGCCTTCCTCACCAGAATGGCTAGATGATGCTTGCGTTCATCCAGCTGCACTAGGCACACCTCGGTGTGGTATTGGCAACACACATGGTTCTTTTGTTCCAAGTCGACGATGGTTCAAGTCAACCTGGTTGCTCGGCAGCTTGGCTTCCAATCTGAGGCTTGGATCATCGGAATGGCTTTCAAGAAGGGCACTGTGGTCTTTGGCATTCATGACTGAGGGCGCACAGCCTCCGTTGTTGGAAATAAGCCTTGAGCAGGACTGATGGCCAACTTCCTCAATGCACTGACAAATTCTTTAAAGACCGGTTTCTAGGCGTCACTGGCCAGTCCAAGGTCCGATGCCAATGGCTCAACTAAATTTAGTCGAGATGTGCTTGCTGGCAGTGTACTGAGACTGGTCGCACATGCATTCTCGCAGCCAGCATGCACATCAGCAAATCCTCCAAAGTTGTAATTGGCAAAATTATATGGCGGTGTACATTCTAATAGAGTCTGATAGGTGACGGCTAAGGGAAGAGCTACCCAACAAACCTTAAGTTCTTTAATTCTACACCCTTCTGTCAAAGATCTGTGACAAGGATCACTGTTGTCTCCCTTTCCAAGGCTTTCCTCCCATCATCGAAAGCTTTCCAGAACAGCACGCCTCCATCGGGCGTCGTTTTAAAGGTTTCGTCGGGCTTTCAGCCGTGTCTGAGATCGCATAGAAGATGGATTTCACACAAAAAAAAGCAAGATGCATTCACAGTTGAAGACATGGCGGAGGCACATCAACAGTGCCTGTCTCTGGCTTGGCTGTGTCGACCTGCAAGCAGAGGCGGCCAACGAGCGATCTCGCGCAGTGGAAAGCCGCAGGGACAAAAACGCCCAAATGCAAATGGTCTCATGCTGCATGTCCAATCAATAAACCTCTTAGTATATCCAGGATGGCTACAGCTTTGCCGTGGGAATGCTCAAATCATTGAACATCCCATTAACCAACAGTGATGGATGACGGGTCCAGTTCTCGGTGGTCAGCAAGCGAGGTCTGAGAAAGGCCAGTCACACAATTGGTTTCCTTGAAGAAACTCTATATAGTCGCCATTCGTCGCCTGTATAATTAATGACTGTGTTGCACTACCATATCTATCTTTGGGCGGGTAGACTGCAGCAGTAAACAAAAAATCCGTCGCCGTCCCAGTCTCACGTGCCTCAAGGACGAGATCAAAGCATCCACAACTTCATCCAAGTAATTAGCCATGAAGTCCGCGCCCACCTCGACATGCCAAGATTTGTGAGGCGTTCGACGACACCGACACATCCAATGACATACTCCATACTCGACCAGCTGATTGGACCCCTACAACTCCTACAGCAAGGTACCTTCGGATCCATAGAAGTATGAAAGGCAGTGACTGTGGTTACTTACAAAGAGTATGAAAGATATGGACTTCTTCTCACAAACAGTATGGACTTCCTACTCTTACAAAAACAAAATATGTGGAGCCATAGAAGATCATAGAAGTATGAAAGCCTTCGGATCCACGGGCACTCTGAGGCTGAGCAGGCAGTGAAGGTTCTGGAGGGTTGGCTCCCGCGACCGGCGACCGTTCAGTATGTCGTCGTCCAAAAGCACTCAAAAGAACATACATATGGTGAACTGCAAGGGTAGTGACATGATTCTGATGGTATATGTACGTACGGATGATGAAAAAACACACATCAAGTCGTCGTGACTGTGGGATACATCTGAGGCACCTGCCGTCCCAGACGTCGTATGTGGTTCTGGGATCACTTCGCCCCCAAGAGGGAGTCACGTCAGTTGACCAAGTGAACACTGGCTGCAACAGCGGATGAATGGTCCGAATATGAGAAGCTCTCAAACATTTGTAGCCTCTGTCCCATGCAACTTTTTTATCCAGATTGTCATCTTGGAGAGACCACGGGTATACCATGGTATAACATTGTCTAACTTACCAATAGGAACATGTGCAAATGCAAGCATACGCAAGGAAAGGCAACCTGTCATTCACCTTGCCCAGGATCACCTCTAGTCTCTCTCTCTCTCTCTCCCTCCCTCCCTCTCTCTCTCTCTCCCCCTTCTCCAGTCAGTCTTCCCATCTGCGATCGGCGGAAGACGCTCCCTCGGCGCGGCAACGCGCGGCAACGCGCTCTCCCTGAGCCGGCGGAAGAGGCGACCGTGGCCTTGATGCAAATCTCACCAACGG